ATATATCCAGGAATGGCATGAAGACAATTCAGATGGAGGGTTGAATAATCAACCGCCCGCACTCACATCGCTTCCGAAAGCCTCGAAATGGTCGGGGGTAGACGTCAAGGGTTGTGACCGGTCACCCTTCCCTGCACCTCGCAAAATGCTCCCACATGACCAAGCGTCTCAAATAGCCTCTGTTGAAGAAACCCTACTCACTGCCCTCCCATGGCGAAGGTGTTTTCCCACCAAAGTGAGAAGACGAAAAGCCGATATATACGGAGCTATAACCGGGTTGGTTGACCACTGGTAGTTCACTTAGAGGAGTTGGCCGAAATCCCTGATTCCAAAACAACCAAGAGGAGGCGTACGAACCACACACTTTCCCGGTTGTGGTAGTGGTCACCGGCTCGATTGGGCACCTTCGAGGTTTGACCCCGTCCAAAGGGCGTATGACGCGATGAACTGGACACCGGCCCTTAATGGATTGCAGTTTTTATACACCACCCCGCTGGTTTGCGGGTCAGGCTTAGTTGAAGGCTTCATTCGTGGATTCCTCAAGAAAATTCACCTGCCTTGGCCTGGGCAACCTGACAGTTTTCCGACCATATGTAAATCATGGAACCTTTTTTCTTTCTTCAATAAAGATTATTGTACCATGATTTGTTTGGTACACAGTCTGGATTTAGACGTGTGTGAAAATATAATACTAGATGCGAGCTAAAGAAAACGAGATATCTAAAACTGCGAAGCTTATTCCCTGGGGGGCGATCTGTCAAGACTGTGGTGGTGAATAGAAGGACAAGAAAGAGGGTTGGACACAAACAACAATTTGACGCACATGCTGTTTCTTTCTTATTTCACAGAAAAAGCTAGGATGGTCAGGTCACCAGGCAACACAGTTGTAAGGTGTTTGACGGGTAAAAAAAAGAGGAGATAAGAGTGCACTCAAATGTTGGATTGGCACCCGTTATCCTTTTTCTCCTTCTCGTAACTACGACGTTTTTTTCAGTGAGGGATTCGGACCTAATCTGATCAAGAAACATCCTGGTCAACTGCTTTTTTCCAGCTAATTCGGACACTGTTTATGAAATGATGAGGGAGGGAGGGGAGGATGTCGGGGGGCGGATGAATTCTCCTTTGATCGATTAGATGTGCTCCCATTGTTGCGGAACAGTGGGACAAAATGGCCGCCCATTTGGACTCGTTCGAACTGGACAAACTGAAACTGAAACTCACCCAAATGTCTGCTTTCGTACCCACATAGGGTTCGCCTTTGAAAATCTCCGGGGCCGCATACGGTGGACTACCACACCAGGTGGTTAGAAGCGGTTGCGACGCGGATGAGGAGTAATGTGTGCCAAAACTGAAATCTGAAAGAAAAAAAAGATTAAAACGATTACAGACAAAGAGATGGATCCTTAGGATACCCAAAGAAAGATAACACCTCTAACGGAAAGCCTACTGTACTATAAGGTTCCCCCTTTAGTACAAAACCGACTAACAGAAAGTAGTTCAGAATGGGACTACGTTGTTGCATGTTGTATGGATAAGGGAAACAATTGGAGAATTGAGCATCAGAAAAGAAGACAGGTCGGTGAATGGCCTTTTCCAGTTTGATCACCAAGATCTAAGTCAAACTACATCACGCAAGCGAGTGATAACGAAAAAAAAATAGGGGTGCCCATCGCATGGGAAGATTCTCTCGTCGACTCGATTAGTAGTTTACTTCGCAGCATTTGATCGGAGGAGCGTATCCCTTTGTCCTGGGATGAATCGTTGATTGTCTGATCTTCAAGAAGGGATCACGCAACGACTGCGCAAACCACCGTGGGATTAGTTTAGTTCCAATAATTACAAAAAGTTGACTTATGTGATATTTCGCCACCTGACACCCACAAAAGAGATGACGATCCGCGAATAGCAAGCCGGATTCCAACCTGGCCGTGAATGTATTGATCAAATTTTTACGTTGCGCCAGGTCCTTGAGCGCGTCCCACCCACCGCCGAC